GGAGATGGGGAGGGGGACACAGAAAATGTAGTTTTAGAGTTGCATTCCTTCATCTAGAAATCACTGGATGATTCCTCACCTCAGTGCTCAAGGCTTCTCTAAGTGTCTCTGACTTTTCTGAAACATATGTAAGACTTCACGGAGAAGATGGGAAACTGTAGCAGTGGAGAAGCTGAGTTTCAGTAGGATAGGAAGAGGGTTTTCTCCTCTTCTGACACTGGCCAGCATCACAACAGTATCTTAAGATATCTTCTGACACACAACATGAAGAGAAAGGAGTGCTCTGTAAAAGTAGTATCTCTGTTACTTGCATACAGGGATTTTGTTCTTCTCCTTTATATCTACGGCCATAAGTCTGCTGAAACATCAAATTCCTTTATATTCGTTTGTAATAGAAGCCGATTATACTTTGTTATAAACTCTGGTAAAGAGGGCTTTGAAACGGAGTGTCAGTGTTGCTCAGCTGGTGCCAGTGAAACCACGCGGGTAGTTACTCTGGTCCGCTGACTGTACTGCCTGGTGCCTCTGAGGCTGTACAGAGACAATTCGGAAACTGCCGATACACAAGATGAGACAGGGCCAAGGTACTCACTGGGTTCTGTCTCCAGCTGACTCTCAAATGTCTCTCAAGAATCGTGCGTTGTTGTCTCCCCCTTTAAAGCCAGCCATAAAAAGCTGTCTGGTCTACGAAGTGCCTGGATAGCCTTAGGTATTGTATCGTAAGGTGGTTTTTAGAACCAGCTCAAGCACACGACCTGGTAAAGTGCCACCTCTAAGTGCACAGGATTGTAAAGTGTTTACAGAGAGGATGAACAGAAAGTGTTCATAAAGCTGTAGAAACCTGAGTGGCCAGGGGAATACATGGCAGTCTGAGCTTTCCCAATGTACAGAAATGCATGGGTGTTTTTCCCCCTTTTCAGAGGCTGACTGATGTGTTCCGACGATACGATACTGATCAAGATGGCTGGATTCAAGTGTCCTATGAGCAGTATCTTTCCATGGTCTTCAGCATCGTATGACACTGATAACTAGGAACTGCACACTGGCGTTACACAGACTGGAGCTGCCAAATCATCCTGTACTGAAAAAGATTATTGATGTATTATAATGGATATAACTTCACATTCTTGAATTTTGTATGTTGGTCATCACCGTCAGAACCTGTACTTGAGTTGGTTTTCATTTTGTATGACTGTATGACGCAACCATTTCTGCTTACTGTAGTACAGAAAGCACAGAACCTAGATTTATCTGGTGCAATGTCAAACTTAACCTCCTTCCACATATCCTGCATGGGGAAAAAATGACTTTAGAAATGCCAAGTCAAAATAATGCTTGTTAGTTTATGGGAGTTGAAAGTCAGAAGTTGCACAACATGTTTTGCATGTGCCTTACTTTTATAAGAGTTTAATGTATTAATTTTTAATACAGAATTTAAAATTAAGTAAAAATATTAGATCAACTTTATAGTCTACTTCACTTCTGTGCAGCTTTTTTTAAGGTGGTGCTGGTTTTATTCCAGTTTTCTACAGTTCAGAGGTCCCTCTCACTTAACAGCGATGGCCTTTTTTCCTTGCCTTATGTTTATTTTCTAGCTGCCTCCTTCTTTAAGGGTAGCCTTGGGACATGTTTAAATACAACTTCTTCACACCTTTGTCCAATACTGCATCTTCCTCAACAAGTTCCCTACAAAAATAAATGGTATCTAACTACTCTGGATATATAGTTCCCTCTGCTTAGTGGGCTCATTTAACAACAATAGTCTTCCTTTTTGTGGTGAAACACTTATCTGAAGTGGCTTTGAACTGACAATCAGACATTCCCAACACCTTCCCTCCATCTCACCATTTACAGATGGAGGGGGACTCACTAATTTTCCAAGTTGTTTCCTGTGAAGGATGTCTCCTTTTCCAGCCAACCTTGTTATACTTCACTGTCTTCAGTGTAGAACAACTGGCTCCAGCACTTTCTAAAGGAGCCTTACTGCCACAGAAAATTACCAAAGTGGCTCTGGACTGGAATGACTCTTGTCTCAGTGGGAAGCAGATGTTTCTGAAGGTGTGAAAGCGGGTAGTACACCACAGACCAAGAAACACCAAGAAACTGGCTGGAAAGTAGATCATGCATCCTCCAAAGCATGTTCTAGTCTGGATTTTTATCAACAGCTTTTTAAGGAGACGTGAAATTGGTTCAAAGGGCTTTGGTGCAGCCTAAACCTCCTGCCTCAGTGCCAAAGCTTGTGCAGCTCTAGGAGTGCTGATGATGGGAAGCATTTAAAGTGATGTAGGAGGCTCCTACCTTGTGAAGGTTGTTTCTTGAAGAAGGACCAGAGCCTAGAGAAACAGGAACAGGCAGAGGACTCCTCCTGCTCCAGTTCTATACCACATGGGAGCAAGATAAAGCAAAGAGATTTCTTGGGAGTAAGGAGTAGCCAGAAGTTGATCCAAGGAAACTGGCCAATGCAGGAAACAGAAACAGGATTTCCAACAGGAAATCTTGGCTTATGCTAGCCCGTTGAATAAACAACCAGTAGGGTGACAGAACTCCCAAGGCACGTTTTACTTTTTTTTTCCCATGAGGGCTTCTTACCTGGTGCCTTTGTGGACACTGCTGGTCAGGTACCAAAAAGGTCAGTAGCCTGGATTTATGCTTTCCTTGAATCCCCCTTTAAAGGTGGCAGGGTTGAACTGAGTGAGAACAAGTAAAACAGAATCCAAAGTCGCCATCTCTCGTAAGTCATTTTTGTAGGATGAGCTGCTGGCTAGAAAGAAGTGAAACAGGCAGATAGATCCTCAGAGTGGATCCTGTAAAAGAAAACAGTCCAAGTTGCAAGTACCTGGCTGGCCCTACAGAGGAAGGGAGGGTGTCACAGAAGCCCTCCAAGTGAGGCAATGATACTTAGCCCTCACAAAAAAAAGGAAAAATAGGAAAAATATTTGTCACTCCTGCCACAGGGGTAAACAATTCCTTTGCAGAGTTGCATCCCAAAGATGTTTCTGTCCATTTCTTTTTGCCCTTCATTTGAATACTAGGAAACTAGTGGGTATCTTGGGGGTACTGGTGGATGGAAAGCTGGACATGAGCTGGCAATGCGCACACACAGCCTGGAAACGCGCACACACAGCCTGGAAACCCAACCATATCCTGGGCTACATCAAAAGAAGCGTGGCCAGCAGGTCGAGGGAGGGGATTCTGCCCCTCTTCTCTGCTCTTGTGAGACCCCACCTGGAATACTGCATTCAGCTCTGGAGCCCCCAACATAAGGACAGGGAGCTGTTGGAGCTGGTCCAGAGGAGGGCCACGAAGATGATCTGAGGGCTGGAGCACCTCTCCTATGAAGACAGGCTGAGAGAGTTGGGGCTGTTTAGCCTGGAGAAGAGAAGACTTCAGTGAGACCTTATAGCAGCCTTCCAGTACTTAAAGAAGGCTTATAAGAAAAATGAAGACCAACTTTTTAGCAGGGCCTGTTGGGATAGGACAAGGGGTAATGGTTTTAAACTAAAAGAGGGCAGATTTAGACTAGATATATGGAAGAAATCTTTTATGATGAGGGTGGTGAAACACTGGAACAGGTTGCCCAGAGAGGTGGTAGATGCCTCGTATCCCTGGAAACATTCAAGGCCAGGTTGGATGAGACTCTCAGCAACCTGACCTAGTTGAAGGTGTCCCTGCTTATTGCAGGGGGGTTGCACTAGATGACTTAATTAAAAGTCCCCTCCAACCCAAACTATTCTGTGAAATTGAACTCCATGAAGGAATGTGTTCCTGCGATAACAAAGATGCTACCTGTTTGACCAAGTCAGCTATACCTGTTTGCTGGTATGGGACACAGGGGAAAAAAAAGTCTCTGAAACCAGTTGCAGAGGTGACAGCTATAGACCAAAAATCAGACAAATCTGGGAGTGCCAAGTGGCAGACTCAGGCCAAGAACAGGACAGAAATTGCACAGAGCAGCTCTTCATTTCCCAAGCTAGAAAGATCTTTGGAATAAAGAAAGATAAAAAGAGAATTAAGGAGAAAGCAGTGATGCAGCTGAAGCTGGCTCAGCCAAGTGACTGGAAGAAACTGAGATTACCACACTGCTGGTAGTAATTGCACGTAACGGATAAAGGCAGGCTTGCGGTGCATGCTACAAGATACCACCAGCTTAAAAAAAAATTCCCTACATGATAGCACTTGTGTATAAGAACCAACAGACAATCATCTCAAGAACTTCACTGATTTTGGCAAGAACTGAAAATTGAAACAGAGAAGTGAAATTTACAAGACTCCAAATGCTATCTACAGCTACCTTTAGTAAATCAACGCTGGAGAGCATTTCCTCTCTGAACTTGGTCACTACTCCAACTTTGTTTCAAAATGCAAGAACTGTTTCCCAAATGCAGGACTCTGCACAACAAGCAGGGACAGGAACTGTTCCCCAGAAGGAAAAATTCAATGTAATTCAATGGATAAAAGCAAATGGCACAACTGCTAAGCGTATGCCATTAGAAACTACTTAAAACCTTCAGTAAGTATGAGAAGGAGAAAAGGAAGTAGTGAACAGAAATGAAAAAGGAAAGTGGATCTTTTCTGATGTACCGGCGAAACAATTAAGAAGCACTTCAGGGAACCAAGTTTATACACTCTATAATAAATTGCTTTTCTGCCTTTTTGTTAAAATGCACATGGTAAGATCCAAAAAGTTATCTGAGTGAACGCAAAAAGATAATCATGACAGCTCATGAAGACTAACTCTGGTTTAGCACAAGTATTTAATGCACAGAGACAGAGTAATACTTCAGGTATGGGTGAGAAGAAAAATGACAGTCCACACCGCCACGGTGAAAAGCAAAACAGACGCTGGGGAGCAAACTGTCTCACTTTACTACTTTTCTTTAGCTCCACGAAAGCTGGATTTGATTACATAAAGCAGACACCTAAAGCCAGGCATTCATAAGCATGTGGCTCAGAAGAGTGGGAAAATTAAAAAAAAAAAGTATGGACCAATGATAAACATCATGAAGTGGTTAGTATTTCTCAATTAGTATGTCATTTTGATTATTTTTCCCTATTATTTAATTACTTACCTTATAGGTTCTACTATTTCTAAGCACACTTTTGCCAGTAGAAAGAGTCGAGATTTTTATTTTAGTATGGATCAATTCACCACATGAGTTTTTAAGTCAATTTGTAACCATTTCATTCTGAACAACATGATAAAAAAATCTGCATATATTTCACGTCTTTTTACTCTGCAAAAACGAAAGCAAATGATACGCCCCATTACATACCAGTCCCCTAGAACAGATCACATTTTCCTCATACAGCGTCACGTTAAGACCGAGAATACCTTTGCTTTGACATTCTCCTTTCTTTGTCTAAACAGAAATGTAGTGTATCAGTTTCTAAAAATATGCTAATTATAAACCCTCCAATTAAGTGAACTGGCCTTACCTTTGTGTGAAGAAAAGTTAACCTGTATTTTCATGCAACGGACCTGTATTTTCAGTGAATATTCTTTCTAAGTAGATAACATAAAAGTAAATGCTTCTTTTTTTCTGAGTTGGGAAGGGTCTTAAAAGGGTTATTAGCTTTTTGCTGACAGAATAACATTAATGTATTTTCAAAAAATAACAAAAGATTTTTTTCTGTAATAGTATATACCAAGATATAACAAATACATTAAAAAAGCCTAAACAAAATAGTATGTTCACCTTCGTTATGTGCAAGTTTGTGTTCCAGGTATATTTCACATGTTAAAAAATTAAACCCTACCTCCCTTTTCCCTTTCAAAACCGTCAAACACAGATTTAAATGCAGTCTCTTTCCTGAAAGCCAAGAGATGGAGATTCTTGAATCTGTTCATCTGTTTCCAGTTCAGCCGTTGTTGCTCCTTAATCTTTTCCTCTAGTTTCTACTAGATGTTTCTACTATGTGCTCATTGACTAATGTCTGAATATTTAGTTCTAGAAAGGGGAGATAAGAACACTTAAAATTACTTCTGTTTCATGTTATTTCACAAAATATAGCAGAGAGAACGTTAAAATGAAAGCTTTACTATGGACTTGCCGCCTAGTTAATTAAATAATTCTAGTACCAAAAGCATAGCTCGCATTTGTCCAAGCTCAAGCCCAATGACAGATATACAGTAGCACATGCCCATCTCCCTTTAAATCCCTCTCATAATCTATTTTCAAAGATGAATATTTTATTTTGAACCATATATCCCTATTTTTCACATTAAGGAATATTTCCACAATAACTGGAAAAAATAATTTGTCACATAACAAACCAGCTCTTTGATAACATTTCTTTTGCTATCCCAATGTGTTTGATCTATTTGGAGTTTTTTCATCTATTATAATGCCATCCGAGTTTGGTTCTGCATGTATTCCACTGTTTTTTCTTTATATGTTGCCTTCCCATAGTTGCCACCCCAACAGTACAAACTCTGATCATGACGTAAGATGCTGGTTAGCAAGATGACCTAGGACAAACCTTTCAATTCAGGAAATTTTTGTGCTACCAAAGTTTCCTCCCCCTCACAGCTCTATTTAGTTGTCAGGAGGCAAAGTCTCCTCAGAGAGGCAATTAACACCATTCTCCAACTGATACAGATGTTGAGCAAAATGAACTCAATCCCTCTGAACAGAGCATACTATCTCTGCAACACGCAATCTCCTGCTTATGTTAAAGCAACTATGTTGATGTAACTCATTTTACATGAGAACTAATCACAATCTTACTTTGAAGTGCTGGATAATATGGAGCCAACTGTTTGAGTGTCCTGGTCGTTGTAGGTATATCCTTTCCTTGTAGTCTATTCAAAATGCTGGGAGTAAGACCAACAGCATCGTCATCAAACATCTCATCTGAGCTTCTGAATTGCTGGTAATCTCTGTACAAACCACTGCCAGAAAACGAGTACTGATGTGAACTCCACTCACTCTTGTAGCCTGACTTCTGATGCCTGAATCCTTGACACGTAGATTCCTGGTTCCAGCTAGATTTCTTGTTCCAGCTAGAGCTCTGGTTCCACCTAGAGTCCTCGTTCCACCTGGAGCCACCTCTTCCTGAGACAGCAGAATTTGCAGAAGATGTACAAGTATTGACAGACTCATCATTCTTGTAAGAGGAATAGCTTTGTGAAGAGTAGTTTGTGGAATATCTTCCAGATGAGGGATATGAAGCAGAAGAACTGAGATAAGGCAATCCTTGATCACTTATACTCCTTGCTTTCGTACACGCTTGTTGATTCCTCCAATTCGTACTTTCCCTGCCGTATGAGATTCTGGTATCAGGGAGCTCACTTCCTCGCACATCGTTGGACATGTATTCTGCTGAGTACTCACTCACTGGGCTTGTGTCATAGGAAGAGCCCCCACCAGCTGAATTACTGCCAGAAGCAGATCGGCTGAACTGTCTCAGCCGTTCACGGATACCAGTGGCAGGACTTCCAGTCTGAAGAGCAAGAGAGTCCCTGAGTGCAGACATCATTGCAAAGTCATTAGATCTCAGCCCATAGGAAGGAGATCCATCATCTGTTTGGTAACTGTACGAGTCAGCAGGAGCAAAAGAAGCATCTGCAGAACACTCTTCATATTGAGACAAAAAACTTTCATTCCAGTTAGAATTTCCTGTATAAGTAAATAAATAAATAAATAAAGGGCACTTAAAGTTGGCAAAATATTAAAATACCAACTGAAAACACAACTACTTTGAGGTTTTGTAAAGTGTTGTTCTCCCGTTCTTTACCCATTTCCTGCCTTTATTTCTTACCTGAGTCCAGCATCTTTTCACCCCAAAATCCTCATGTTAGGCAGGTTAGGAAAGGTTACTACTCAAATTTCCAATAACCTTTACTGCTGTAACACTATTCGGTGAGACAGAAGGGTTCTTACACACCCAAGGCTGACGTCATTTAAGGCTTCAGCAAATGATATCCTGAACTGACTGAGGGCAAAGACACAGTACTCTAGCAAAGCAGCACTATGGCTGGCCATAAAAGTGATTTTTGGTGATCACACAACGTTAAGAGTAGACTTAAACTAGTAGAACAAAGTATCTAAATTACCTTTGGATTTTCCATATGGCTTATAGTGTTTTGAGATGCTTTTACTTCCTGGAAATTCATCTTGAGATATGGACATCAGTGGCCTCAGACTGTTAGTATAATTAACCTAGGTAAAGCAAAAGGTCAGAATGTCTGTTTTTAAACTCAAATCTTGAGTATTCTAAAAAAAATAGCAAGTTCCCCATAGAAAGTTGGCAGACTATAATTTTAGGTGACAGCAAACTCCACATGAAGGATGTGTTGTTCTGTTGTTTACAATTACCACATTAAACCACAATTTTCAAAAGTAGTATTTGGAAGAGGTATGTGTCTGGAGACAGAATGAGGTGTCTGGGGAAGACAATGTCACCTGTTTCAAATTTCTTTACTTTATTGCCCCATATCCCTGTCCTGGTTTTGGCTGGGACAGAGTTACTTTTTCTTTTTAGCAGCCAGAAGAGCTCTGTGTTTTGGATTTAGTCTGGGATTTGTTATGAGAAGAATGTTGATAGTGCACTGATGTTTACAGTTGGTGCTGAGACATCAAGGACCTTTCAGCTTCCCATGTTTTCGTCAGTGTGCAGGAGCACAGAAGGCTGAGGGAGAGCATGGCCGGGACAAAGGGCTCACAACTTCTAGCTTGTGATTTGAACCTAGACTTAGGATTGAGGGCCAAACTGGCCTATGGAATATTCCATATCATGCAGGACAGGACAAGTGTTGATCACCAGGTAGTGAGCAATTACACTGTGCATCACTTGCTTTTATGTATTATTACAATTGTATATACTATTATCTTTGTTACTTTTAATTTTATTTTAGCTATTAAATTGCTCTTATTTCAACCCACAAGTCTCCTTCCCTTTTCTCCTTTAATTCTTTTCCCCATTACCCGGGGGTAGGGGAAGGTGAGGGAGCGGCTGAGTGGCATTTAGTGGCTGGCTGGGTTAAACCACGACGATCCCTCAACGTCACCTGGCTAAAATATAAAATTGGTACATAGGCAAATCCTATCTCTAGCTGGGGAATGCATAATGGAAGGCTCAGCTCCTGCCTGAGATTAAGCTACAGCAACAATTTCTAACTAGCTCCTGAGAACTGCATTACATTCAAATCCATGACATTTTTGAAAGTGTAGCTCTCAAAAAGGTGGTGGTGGCATTTGCACTAAGACAGTCACCGTAGCTCAGATGACATGGAATATATTATTAATGCCTAAGAAACCAGCCTGAAACATCTTTCAGAAAAACACATACTGAATTTTGTGGACCAGTAGCTGCCAGAGGTGACAAGTCATTTTTGTACAGATTCTGGTCCTTCTTCAGACCCTTTTTTCTCCAGGTATTCAATTGTTATGCAAAGAAGTTACGGAGGTTTGTAAGGGCCAACAGAAAGACAGGAACACCTGTGATTCTGTAACACCTTGCCTACCTTAGTCTTAACAGATTAAAGCTCTCAACTGGGAGCAGAGCTACAAGTCACCAGAAAGACTCATCCACATGCCCACAAATGAAAGAAGCGACACATTTGGGTAGCACTTAAAGCTTGATTAATCTTACAAGAAAAGCTATCAAGCAAGGGACCAACTGCAAAGGAAGGATGACAGCCAGACATCATGAAGCAAAATGGTGGCCAAAACAGGCGGAGAGCTTCCAAAAAATAAAAAAACAAAACAGATGGGAGATGATGGAAAACTAACAGAAATGTGCCACGCAACTAATGTGTTTGGTACCTAGAAAATTTAAAAAAAAAAATTAAGTATATTTAACTGGGGGTTTTTGACCTACGCTTGAACTGTTACAGTTTGACAGGGTGTTAACACAGCGAGTTCAACCACTTCTCTCCTCTCAATGGCAAAACAACTCTGGTCAAGACTAAGTTACTTACTGCTGCTTTCTTTTCACAAAAGGCCTTCAAAGCTTCTGTGAGTTCCTGTGTAATCCGAACAACAAGTGTCGCTTCTGAGTCTGAGGTGATGTGAAAAGTCTCCTGTTGAAAAACATGGTTAGAATTGGTCATTACACATACACAAACAGATTAAAGTTATACTTTGATTTTGGTATAACAAAGTTTATACTATTAGTTGATATATAAGACATATATAATATACATATACATACACGTATGAAAAAGATGCAAAAATAATTATGGCCTGATAAAAGGTAATACATAAGCCTGGATGCCTGTGCCACTCCCATACTGCCAATCATGAACATTTTATTGCAGATGGAGAAGGGAACAAGTACTAAATTTATGTTGTCTGTGTAGAAAATGGAATAAAAAGTAAGCTTCAGCACCATCAAATGCCTTTGATCCCCCCACTTTAGTAAGAAAAAGACCAAAGTTTCCATTATAATTTTCCTATGTATAATTTCTGGAAAAAGAGATACCAAAAGATATTGATATAATTCTATAAAGCGCAGAACAATTATGGCTATCTGTCTTTTTAATGTCCAAAGAGATTGATTAGTAAGTATATGAAGTTATAAGTGACTACATGAAGTTAAAAGAATATAAGTAGTCTGCTGTAAGGAATAGCTGTGATTCCTGTAAATAAAAATCGATTAACTGTCTACCAAGCCTTTTGGTAGCTTACTGATTATCCCCAGATTTGCTTTTTCTCTACCTCTTCCTAAAGTCACAAGTAACCACAGCTTAAAAGAAAAGAAAGAAAAATGAAAAGACAAAAACTCTCTCTTCAGTTGGTAATGAAGCACCCATCCCAAAACATCCTACTTGTGATTTTAGCATATAAACACAATTCACACACAAATGAAATTCTGTAATTGCCTTAGGTACAGAATATGACTTTCATGGAGTAAAACGGTGAATATAAACGGTCAGATATTTTCACAACATAAACCCAACAGACAAACCCAGGCTTACAATGCCACTGCTAACAGCAACTGAACTGATAAAACCTCCCCACTCCAGCACCAGCAGCTGTGCTCTAGTATCACCCAGTTTCACTTGGTTGTCCAGTTCTGCAGTAGCAGCACCAGCCAAAGCATCACAAGCAGCAAGACCAGACTGGCTCCTCTCATTCAGCCTTATCAACCATCCTGTTAGACATGAGCAGCCAACAGCACCTGAGCAACATCAGTGCTGCTAACGCTGCTTGTCAGGGTGGCTCCTCAGCAAGGGGAAGGATGACCCGGAGGCCAGGTAGAGAGATCACATTTAATCCAGCAAGTTGTTCTGAGCTGACATTATGATCCAGCTGCACTAGCTTTTCGAAGAGCAAAGTCCATTCAAATAGAACTTAGAAATTAATGTTGTGGTCAAATGAGTTTGATCAGTAATCAGAGGCTCCTTCACAATATTCACTGCATCATACCGGTGAAAACGCATGACTCTCATCACAATTATTTTTACATACATACCAAGAACTCTAGAGCTTTCTGTTTCCGAACAGGATCATTCTGTGAGATTGTGGAACAGGGAAGAAAAAACCAAAAGACTGAATACCGCTGCATTTGTTGCATCATCTTGTACAAAACCAGACCTTTTAATCTTTAACCCAACAACAAGAGTCAACACAAAGAAAAGATAGTAATTTTAGGTCACAGCCATAAACACAGAATGTTAGAGCCTCAATAGCAACTAGGTAGCAGCTACTACAAATACAACTGCATTACTTCCAATACTGGGAAGAACACATTTCACATCTAAGCTACTTACCTACAAGAGCTATCTTTCCCAAACTTTCCTCACTCAGGTCTAACCTCACATTTAAAAAAAGTCAAGTGCCCAGCTGCATCTAGCGTAGTTCCTGAGCAGCCTGAGGCCTAAAAGAGCAAGATGCCACCACAGAATACATCAGATTACAAAACAACTAAAATAAAAATGAGGCAGATTTCAGTGTTTGTGCCCAGTGCTATCCAGGACAGATACCTGAGAGATCATTCTGAGTTTCACCTTCAAGTTAGAAAAAAGGATTGTATATCTTTCGATATGTTTTAAGATTTCAACAAAATCTTCAGTATAGAATACCTTTGATCTGAGGAAGGGTAAAACAAACAAGTGGAGACTGCAGCACAGGTTGGGAGACCTGGCCTACAGACACTGGTTCTGAGGCTCTCAGTGACTTCGAACAGGAATTATGAGAGCTAAGGTGGATGATGTGATTCCTTTCCCCTCTGCTCTGATGAACACAAAACTCCGGTCATTAGGTCAATTATTTTCTTCTGCAATAATATTAATAAAATGGCAAATGAAGCCAAAAAGTAAAAGTTTTTCAAAAAAATGAAAGGCAAGCATAAGGAAGCTTCAAACTTGCAGAATTACTATCTCTACATACCTCATGCTTATAATCATCTTCCCACCTTAAAAAGAAAGAAATGACAATATTAAGATGCATTCTAAAGATTACTAAAAAGTTAGGTTTACTCATAGTATCTACAATCAGAATATTTCAACTTTCAAATTTATATCATTACCAATAGGGGATATCTTTTTCCATGTCATATTTAAAGTACTATTATTTATTAAAGGTCCTTATTCTGACCGACTCCTAAAGAGATCAGTAGTACTGATGAACTTCTTTACAGATCAGCTAAAGGAGATGACTAAAGTAACGGTGGTCTTCTCCTTCCTATAACAGAGGTGCCTTTTATACAACTTACTCAAGCGACGGCATCCCAAATGAAGTGGTAACAGCTTGAAATTTGAATTGCAATTTCTTTGTGTAGGAGTACATCAGACTGCTATTGAATTGCATAACCAGTGCAATATTTCAAAAGCCATAGCTTCTATTTCCTCACAGACAAATAGGAAGAATTTACACAAGAGGAATAAGTACAGTGGAAAGAATATAAAGTATTTTCTCCATATGTGATGATGTTTGTTACAGAAAAGTAAATCTATTTAATAAGTAAAGAGATCTAAAAAAAAAAAAAAATCCCTTTAGATTCCCCTGTGGGAGTAGTATTCTCACCTTGCTTTCTTCTTCGATGGGGCTAGAAAATTAAAAAGAATTATTAGCCACATCATAGGGTTTCCACTGTATTACTGCAACAGAAGCATTACACAAACAGAACAGTTGCTGGCCCTGAAGTGGCTGCAGTTTCTTTAAAGGGCAGGATTCAGCAGCCCAAACCTGGGCACATACTGCCATTTTAGAAACCATCGGGCATCCTTGATGAAAGGGTCTACGGGAGACTTGTGCTCCAACAGCTTTGCAGGGTACTCTACAGCACCTATGTTCAGGCAGCTGAATCCCACATGAAGTCAGTATGGATGGAACTGAGGTGGGCATGCCGCCTCTATGCAAAAAGTGAAAAGGTTTGTTGTTTTGGTTTTTTTCTGTGAAAATACCAATGAACCTCAAAGCTGCACACATAAAATAGTTCAGACTCCAGCAGGAAGTTATGGAGATTAACAGGTCTAATCACCTCTCTTGCCAGTACAGTGTCTAAGCATGAGGAAGGAGGTAAAGCTCAGTAAAACAAGGTAGTCCAAGACAGTAGCTATGCTTCAGAGAATCAGCTACTGCATGGTACATAACTTACCATTTCTTAAGTGTTTATCAGCACAAGTGCTCCAAGGTAAGCAACAGGACAAGTAATAATTATCAGGACAAACAACATCTTCACCCTTACAACATGAGGCTGAAAGACTCATGTTAGTGTTTAAACCACCTGATGTTGAACACGTGCTGAGGAGTTGCAACAAGAAGTTGCAACTGTAGGTCCGAAAGTTTTCCAAATGTCAGGAAAGAAAAAGACGGTCATAATTTCACAGAAGATATCCAATGTATTAAGAATCAGGGAAACATAGGATGGGAGGGACCTCTGAGGCAGAATCACAGAATGATAAAAAACCTAAGGTTGGAAGCGACCTCCAGAAGTCACCTAGCCCAGCCTGAGAGGTAAGATAAAAGAACCACAGAGGTGGTAAGTAAGAGAAACCAAACAATTAAAAAGACGGTCATAATTTCACAGAAGATATCCAATGTATTAAGAATCAGGGAAACATAGGATGGGAGGGACCTCTGAGGCAGAATCACAGAATGATAAAAAACCTAAGGTTGGAAGCGACCTCCAGAAGTCACCTAGCCCAGCCTGAGAGGTAAGATAAAAGAACCACAGAGGTGGTAAGTAAGAGAAACCAAACAATTAACTGCAAGATGAGGACACTGGCAATTAGAATAATTTTCCTTGAATTATTCAATTTGTGCTGTCTTTCCAGTAAGCCTCTAAAATGCTCCTGTTAGAAAAGATGATGAGTGGAGACAAGGAGTGCTACTCAGCGGTTGGAAGCTTCATGGTACTCAAGCTAACGACTAAAGTTCTGGTCACTTCAACAAAGAATAGCCTCAAGATTGGATCAGGCTGCTTAGGCCCATGTCCAGTTGCATTTTCTAAGTCTTCAAGAATGGCAATTTTCTACCTCTTTGGGCAGGCAATTTCAGTGCTTGACTGCTCACTGTGCAGAACCTTCTGAATGTTCAATCAGCATTTCCTTTATTGCAGCCGGTGAATGTCCTGAAGTCTGGCTCTTTCTCTGTACTCATGTTTTAGGTAGCAGAAGACCATAAGTAGATCCCTTCCTTAGCTGCTGCCTTCTCCAAGGTAGTCAAGCCCAGCTCCCTAAAGTTGTCCTCCGCATCATATGCTCTAGCCTC